AGAAAGAAAGAAAGAAAGAAAGAAAGAAAGAAAGAAAGAAAGAAATATATACACCAGAGCAACTAGGTTGGGAAGGAGGTCAAACTTAAGAATACACACAGGATAATTAAATTTATAAAAGATTCAAAACTGGGCAAATCTAAACTATTTTTAGGAATTCATAAATTGGTAGAGAGAGGTAGGAATGTAGCTTGGTAGGAGGCCCTTAAGTAGCATGTACAGGTCCTGGTTTGATCTCCAGCAACACTAAATATACAGAAAGGCAGGGGGGAGGGAAGAAGGAATAAGAAAGGAAGGAAGGGAAAGAAGGAAGGGAAGGAGGGAAAGGAAGAGAAGGGAAAGGAAGGGGAGGGGAGGGGAGGGAGGGATGGAGAGAGGGAGGAAGGGAGGGAGGGAGGAAGAAAAACAAACAAAGGAAAGGAAAGAGAAATTGTTATTATTGAGGTTTGAATGTGGAACATCCTAGAGTCTTTGGTCCTAGAAATGATCCCTCCCAGCTCTTACTGTAGCAGATCTCTTCCAAGCAGGGGAAACTACAAAGGAAATCAAGAATACCTTTGGCAACTGGTGGCTAGTAGGAGGGGGAGAAACAATGTCTTACAGGGATGGGACTCTTGCTGAGCCCAGTGAATGGACCCATAAAAGACATTTGGGGACACAAATCAGACTCCATAGGCTTAAAAAGAGAAGAATGAAACTGGAGAGGAGAGCAGCCACATACCTCCCTTACGAATGTATCATCAAACACCCCCCGACCCCCGGGTCCCAGAGCCAGCCACTAAGCATGTGACTGGCACAGCTGTCGATCAGAACCCAGAAGGAAATCAAGCAGTCATTTTCTGCCCCACTCACCTTCCTTCTGTCTCCTCCACTGGAACTCCAGTACCACATCATCGTGTCCCACAAAGGTGTGGACCGGGGTGTTCAAGTCAAAGACATTCCACAGGAGCAGGCTGTTTTCCCTCCGCAGCTGGGGAACCATCACAGTCACCAATCCATTGCTGAAAGGCTATATAGTCAAGAAGGGAAAAGCAGTGATTACTCCAGAATCAGTCTAGATTCAACTACCAAGGTTGGACTCCAGGCATGTGGCTCACACCTGAAATCCTGGCACTGAGGAAACAGGGATAGGAGGATCGTTACAAGTTGGAGGCCAGTCTGGTCTACAGATCAAATTCCATCCAGATCAGGCCAGCCATGGCTGCATAGTAAGACCTTGCCTCAAAAGAAAAAAAATTTTTTTATTATGGAAGTCCCAATCTCATCTGGGGAAATTTTCCCAAATGCTATAAGCTACCCACCACATTTAGCTTTCTCTCTACTAATGGAATGCAGCAAGTGAAAAATAAGGCTGAGCCAAAGGCTTGGGTAACTCTGAACACACTTAGAATAAGCAAATGGCTTGAACTGCTATTTTATATCCTACCTACTCTCCAAGAGTTTCTGCTCAAGGCTCACTGGGAAGACCTGCCATGTGGCAAGGCCAACAACATACATCCACACAAAGCATCACTTTTCCACTGCCCCGGGACACCTCCTCAAAGGAAAGCTTAGTAACCTCAGAAATGCTGCTTCATTTGGCAAAACCCAATTGTGCTGGATAGCTTTAGTGTCAACTTGACACATCTGGGTTGAGGGAACCTCAGTTGGGAAATTGCCTCTATTGGACTGGCCTGTGGCCATGTCTGAGGGGCATCTTCTTGATGAGTGATGTGGGAGGGCCCAGCTCA